TGTGTGGTTGTTTGTGGCCTATTTTGCAAATGTGGGAATAGAGGCTCACACAAATCTTAAATGGCAAAAGAGCTCTAATTTGAGCCTAGGATTGCCCAATTTTCCACCATACACAAAGTGAAAACTAATGTAAACTTTTAAAAGATATATTTATTTCACAAAGCAGCACATGCCCAGGATTACACAAACAGGTTCCGTGAAAGGGACCATTCCTTCAAGACGTGTGGCATCTAAGAACAACAAATGCTTGTTCTGACGTTGAATCTATAAGACCATCAAACAAAAGGTGCAATATTGGTATGAAGAATGCTAACCATAGACTCACCGTATTCTTGCCTACTTCCTTGCATGAAAAATTCTGTTCCAATTGCTTCTAATATTCTTCTAGAGACAAGGACTCATGTCTGGGGGGAAATGTTCTTGAGCCCTGCTGCTTACCTTATTTATAGGAACTGGAAAGGTGGCACCATTGCATCATCCCTTTTCTGCTAACTGTGAGCATTTTCCAGATCATCATAGTATTGTAAAATATCAAAGCCATAATGACATTTTGCTAATCTTCTCATTAATCCTCAAATCACAGGTACACAACATGAGCTTGTAAATCTTCCACTTCTTTCCAAGCCTGTTAGCACATAGCCTGTGCTGACATCTCTCACACCGTTTTCTGAGGATGCCCAAGATATAGGATTCTTCATGTAACTGCACAGATAAATAGAGCATAGAATCGGTTATCTTTCATTGTTTTGACTCCAAAGCTCCTGTAGATTATGTCATACAAAAGGATTCTGTTGTGTGGATTTTCTTATACCTTTCAAAATGTTGAATTAAAAATGACCAACAAACATTCTAGAGCAGTGGTTCTCAACATGTGGGTTGTGACGCCTTTGGGTAGCACATCAGATATCCTGCATATCAGATATCTATGCTATGATTCATAACAGAAGCAAAATTTCAATTATGAAATAGCATCAAAAATAATTCTATGGTTGGGGGTCACCACAACATCAAGAAGTCTATTAAAAGGAAGGCTGGGGACCACTTCCCTAGAGGAAATAAGGGCAGGGAAACCATCAGGGAAAATTATATAGGAATTCTTTTATAAAACTGATGATGGGTTGAAATTGTGATGAAAATGAGATCTATAAGAAATTAAGTAGTTGGCCGGGTGTTGGTGGCGCAAGCCTTTAATCCCAACACTCGTGAGGCAGAGACAGGCAGAGAACTCTGTGAGTTCGAGGCCAGCCTGGTCTCCAGAGTGAGTGCCAGGATAGGCTCCAAAGCTACACAGAGAAACCCTTTCTCGAAAAACAAAAACAAAAAAAAAAGAAAGAAATTAAGTAGCAAAAGAAGCTAATGAGAGCTAGTTACAGTGAGTAAGAGGTAGGAAGGGGAAGTAAGGATAGAAAGAGGAGAGTCAGAAAGTACCCCAGGGAAAGGCATGTGCCTGGGAAAGGCCCGAGGTAGTAGAATGTCACAGGTTTGCAAAGAAACAAATGTTTGAAAGAAAGAAAGGAGATTTGCTTGCATCGACTCTTGCAGATGAGCCAAAAGAAGTGGTGGAGGCACAGCTATTGGGTTTGGCAGCTAGGGAGCCAAGGGTTTCAGAGTAAAATTGATTTTGATGTTCAGTTGAAGGTAAGGTTTCAAGTCTGAGAGCAGCTCCAACACCATTCATCAGTTTAAGAAATGTAGAGAGTCTGGCCATTACTGAGTGAAAATTTCCAAGCTTCATAATGAAGAGTTTCTAGCTGTGCCAAGTGTTTCCATAGGATTTCACAGCATCAAAAGACCAAAAAAGAAAAATTCTGGACAAAAGCTGGCAGGGATTTTTAAAAAATTAAATAGTGTCTCAATGAGTGTTAAAAACAGGTTTAAATGTAAAAGGGTGGTTTGAAAATGTAAAGTTACACCTATGCAGTGCTTTTCAACCTGTGGGTCATGACCCCTTTGGGGTCACATATATGATATTTACATTATGGTTCATAACAGGAGCAAAATTAAAGTTTTGAAGTAGCAGCGAAGTAGTTTTATGATTGGGGTCACCATGACATGTATTAAAGGGCTGCAGAATTAGGAAGAATGAGAACTGCTGCCCTAGCTGGAAGGGAGAATTCTAATAATTCCTCTTTTCTTCCTTCCTTTTTCAGCATCCATTTTTAAAATTAGCCAAGCCTCTCTCCAGCCTCACTCCTCTGATTATCGCTGCAAAAGAAGCAATTAAGAACAGTAGCCGTTAGAACTGCGAGCCTTACCCCTCACCGTATCCCTGATGAGTAAGACTGAAATAAAACTCTGCTTCAGGAAACATGGAAGAAAAGACAGTCAAATGGGGTGGGGGTTCTTTACCTTTAAAGTGAATAGAAACTTCTTATAAGCCTTTTTTCCTACTCCCTCAGACTATGTAATTTATTTGTAAGCCTGAACCGCAGCCCACCCAGGGCAGCAATGTTGAAGTGGCCGTAAAGTGGTCACTTCCACCGTGAAGCGAAAGAGCCAGTAGTGAATCCCCTCATTTTGTGCATTTACTTTGAAGAAAAAGATTTCTCAAAGATGCACACTCCCTCTTCATAGTGTTGTGTTTGTTTTTAAGTTAGAAAGTAGTCCCTCTTGCATTCGAACCTCTTTCAAAACTCCTTACCCAATGTGATGTTTTTTCACTTGCATTGTCATTAGATGTCCAGAAAAAAATAAAAGATGTCAAAATGGTTTTTTAAAAAGAAAGAAAAAAAGCAAAGAAAAAAAACAAAACAAAAACAAACAAAAATGAAAAAAAAATAGAACAAGTGCTGTGTGAAGCTGTGGACGTCCATGCCCTAATAGAGTCGCAATTTTTTATTCTTCTGTAGTGGTGGCTTGGTTTGTGTACCTATTTTTCTGCATTTGTATTGGAAAGGTTTCCTTTAAGACATTTTCCAAAAGCAGAGAGGAATATGAGTGTTCAGGATGGGCTTTTCAAAGTTGTCTAAACAGAGCTCTAATTGTGAGACCCTGTCACATTTCATGAGAGTGCTTATGTAGTAGCTGAATTGTCATGCAAAGCAGCTTGTTGGCCTCTGTGTTAACAGAAAAAGGACACACACTGAAATTGTGGCAGCACTTCTGGGTGAGTCCAGGCCCTAAAACCAGGATATCCTGATAGGAGAAACCTTACTTACACAAAGATGGGACTTTCTCTGAGAGCCAAAAGGAAAATGCAGGACTCCTTGTTGGACAATAAATAAGCAAAGATATTAGTGAATTTAATCCTCTCTTGTGTTCCTGTAACATAAGCATTGTACAATAGGCACATTATGAGGAAATAGATCCATTAGCTGACATTCTTCATGATAAAAATTATTCATTTTGACAATTTGTAACACTTAGGAATGTTTTAAAGATGAAGAGATGAGAGATGTAGTGAAGTATTGGACTCTGTAAGATACGGGAAGTCAGTGAAAGCAGCATCCCAGTCAACATGGCTCTAAATACTTGATATGTATTCCCTGCATATCTCCAATCTCTTTTTCAGGATATGGTGTGTTCTTATTTAGTTACTTGGGCTTTTGTCCTTTTAAAGCTTGTTCATAAAGATGTTGAAAGCTAACTGAGAAAATAATTTTAATCTGTATTCATATATCCCAAGAACTATCAGTCCAATGGAATTCCTTTTGTGGCTCAAGGAAAATTCCAAAATTCTACTATTGTTTAATTATATATATATATATTTATTAAAATTCATTAGTTGATATTATTTAATCTTCTGAGTGTAAACGTATAGACAGTTTTATGAATTCTAGAAAGATGCTTCTCGAAGCCTTTGAAAAGCCAGCAACCTATGCTATATAACATTTCTTAATTTGTAGAGATAGATAATCTGAATAGAGTTTACCTACATTCAGCAAGAGGGGAAAGAGATCAATGGCATATGCCTTTCTCCTCCGTGAGGTACATCTGTCCATTTATCCATCTACCCATTCCTTCAAATGAAAGCACTTTCTCTAGAGATTCTGCTGATCATATAGTACATATGTTTATGTTGAGAAGATACCACTGGTGGATTTCCTATTTTCCTACATTATAAAATTAGGGTGGGGTTTGGCCCTTCCCAGAAAAGATCCACCATGGAATAAAAGACAAATGTGAAAAGAAAATCAAATGATTATATTAATTTCATGTTTATTTTGCAAAGAGGTATCTGGGCCTAAAATTTTAAATGCCATGCCTCTCTAGTGAGAGAGGAAGAACCTTAATTTTTACATTACCTTATTTTAAAATTAAGGATTTTTCCCACTTGTAGTGCCAGGGAATATCACAAAATACCTGGGATGAAAATAGAATTCAATTGATAGCTATGCTCTGTTAATTGAGAGAGCCCAAGCCCTGGTTGGGAAGTCCAAGACATCAATTAACATCCTTTGCATGTTGTAAAGGCCTTTGTTGTTATTATTGTTGCTGTTTATTGTTGTTGTTGTTGTTGTTGTTGTTGCTGTTGTTGTTGTTATTTAGAAGACCCTGGAGCAGTGATCCTTCAGATCACTGTTGGCAGAGAAATGGCTGCTCTTTATGCTCTCCATTCAGCATATTAACAGTGAGGGGCCAGATATCTATTTACCATCACTTTGTAGTAAGTTTTAATAATCTGTTCCAGTAGGCATTACTTGTACAAAATTATATCTATGTACATGCTCAAATTAGAGGAGCTTCTAAAGTCTTTTCCTGTGTTGAAGAGTTACATATATTTCTAATAAGTATTAGAAAGGAACTGTTTCTCATGCCAAAATGATGATGAAGGATCCATATGTGGGATACTTGAACAACTTGTCCTCCAGATGGTTAATAGTTTATTACCTTTCCTTGATTTTCTTTTGAGCTCATCTCAATACAGGTGAGTCTATCCAGATCTTTAATGTTGCTAGTGTGCCCTGAGACATTTTTGGGCACTTGTTTGAATGTTGATTCAAAAGCCTGAGAAAGGAATAGGGCAGTGGGAAAGTCAGGGAAGGGTGAGAAGCACAGTAAAGATTATTTATTTAAGAAAGAATAGAACATTACTATTGTAGCAATGATCCAGTTCGTTGTCATAATCCTATGAGGATTTGGGGATTACACAATCCCTCTTAATCAGTCACCATGTTGGGAAATGACTTCGTACTTGATGATCTTGTCTATGTATCATTGTAAATATTTGTGCGTCCATGCTCCATTTTGGCTACTGGATGGCCAAGTCACATGAAAAGATTTAACTCAAGTATTTATTCTTTAATTGTGTTATTCAGGTTTCTTTCAGGCTTGTGAATTGCACCTACAGTGTTTGAGTTTAATCACCTAGTCCACATCTATCTCTCCTGTGAAGCACATTCCATTGCTTTAAAAAAAATATAAATTGCTTCCTGTTTTCTGTATAACTGTTTTTGATAGTTTGAGATGTTTGTCTATAATGGATATTTCTCACCTCAAAGATCATGTAAATAATTATATTCATTTCCTCAATGGGTCATTTATTTCTAATGAGGCTGCAAGTTCTCAGAGAGTCTATGAAGTCACTTTTAAATAACACAAACAGGGACAACATCTATGTAAAAAGAAGTGTGCATCTGGATAAAGCCTGGGAACACAGATAGTTGAAATTGGTTGTGTTAGGGTGGTGGGATTATGTAAAATTGTTTTTCTTTCAGAAATTTTCTTTTTTGGTAGTATTATATTATTAATTTAAATAAATAAACAACAGAAAGAGAACTATAGAAACATAGAAGAGATGCCAGGAGCAGATGCTTTCTGGCCAGAGCCCAGAGCATGCAGGGCACAGATATTTCCTAGTTACAATTATTCTGTAGGCTTTATACTTGCCTAGGTACTGAGGTTGGCACATGCTCAGGTATGGCACATGCTTTCTTATGAGACTATTATCTAAGTCAAAGCTAAGGAGATGTCACTGCTAGAACTCCAAATGTATTCTTCTGCTATCAAACAAGCTGCCCTCAGCTTTGGTATGGCATCCATTCTCTATTTTGTTTGCCTTAAATTGGAGAGCTGACAACTTGATTAGCCCCTTTGAACATATTTGTTTGAGGTGCCACCCTTCTGGATTGTCTTAAAAGGTTTCCAATGTCAAATTTGGAAGAGCAGAAAGACAAAATAGCTGGTCCCCACCATTTCCTTGCACAACAAGATCTATCATTCTGGAAAAATTCTTCTTTAAATGGTCATAGGCAAATCCCATTGATTTCCATAGAAATTACCATAGACGATTAAACCTAACTTTGAAATTCTTCAGAGAAATATTTAGGATTGCCTGTCAGCATTCAGTTCCAGTCCTATTAGTTTTGGCTTGGGATGGTCTCCTTGTACTTTTGGGCTGCACAATTATAGCTTGTAGTCAGCGATTGTGGTTTTTTAAGAGAAAAAGAGACCAACTACCAAAAGAGAAGAAACTCCTTTTAACTCACTGAAGAAATTTTAGGTGAGAACTTCAATAATGTATGTTATAGAGTGTCAATCAAAAGCAGACCCTACCCCCAGAATTCTCACTGACTTTTACTTAGCTATTCACGGTACATATGGAAGTCTTAACCTTGCCATCCTGATTGGATCTTGTCATTTTCTGAGCTTATTGCAGTTAATATTAACTTGAACAAATGAATGGCGTGTGGTATAAACATCTCCCAGTCTTGGAAGAAGAAACCTGAAATTCAGCATTTGTAAACCGACAGTCTAATGGGCCTGGGATTTGGAATAACCTTAACACACAATACTGAACATATATTTGCATGTGGATTGGAAAGAGAATAAATAGGGCCTTGGGAATAAGGGAAATGTTTCTCTTATGAAAGACTTTTTCATAAGAGACATATTTCTATTATAATTTTGGTTTGTTTAGCTTTCAGTTTTATCACTCCTTTTCTGCTTCACACTCCTTTAGTGACCAAATCTATCCAACCCAACTTCTCATGCATGGGAATGTCTGTATCATTAAACAGTATCTAACTGAATCTGCAAATGTGGGAATCAAGAAATCATCATGTGCACACCTCTGACTATAAATACACTATCAACTTGTAGCATTTATTGCCACTTAATCATTGAACTTGAAAGGTGAACTTACAAAATCTAATGAGTGCCATCAGAATCTCCACTGAAGCTGCCATCAGGTGAATGCAGTCCTGTAATACCAACAGTAAGGCAAACACTGTGTTCACCTGATTCACAACCTAGGAAAAAAACTGACAACAATGTTAGAGAATGATTCAGAAGTAGTAGAAGTAACCCTGCCCAGGAAAGAGACATAGATGTTAACACCGGCTATTTGCCCAACTTGCTGTGTGACCTTGAGCAAGTTACTTAACCTTTCTATTTATTCATCTATAAAATAAGGGTATTGAATTAAATGTCCTTCAGGGTCTTTCCAAAAGCTCTAACATTGTGTGAGGTAACAGTTTGCCTTGCACATTTAACCTGCCAAAGCGATGGCAAATATCACAAACTTAAGCCTGGATCTTTTATGTTGCAGTTACATAGAAGTATGTAAGATGGAAAAACTCAAGTAAATGAAGTTAACAGCACCACAGAATGTTGATCAAACTCATGGAAACCTTCCAACTTCTTCACAATGGTTTTGTTTTATTTCAGTGTCTTTTTTTCCACTGAATGTTCCCAGTTTTTCATTTTCTATACACTGTATGTAAAGTCTGGTTTCCATTAAGCTGTGGCTAGCATTTGCTACTAGAACAGAAATTCACTGTCACGTTTCATAGAATGAAACTGTACTTGGGCCTCTCTTCCTAGGAAGCAGTTATAGGCCTTAGAGCATGAAAATAGAAATGGCACCGGATGGCAGAACCCAAGCATTTTAATGGCTAAGACCATAGAGTGGACCTATGTACTTACAAGTTGCAAAAAGAGCAACAGAAAAGCAATTGCATGCTTTTAGCTATTGGGATTAAATAAAACATTTCTCGTGGAAACTCCCACAGCAATTGGCTAGTTATATGAGCATGCTATTGAAAAGAAGGTAAGCTAGAAGTTAGTTTGGTGGATGGTCCCTACTGTCTGCCTACAGCAGAGTGCCAACCAGCCCTAAGTGTGAAATTCAAGTTCAATGTGTGTGCTTTGTGTGTGGTGTGCTTTTTGGACCCGCATATACTATATTCATTAGTGATGGTAAAATCTTTCACCATTAATAGGTTGAGTTTAAAAATCTCAGTGCATCTGACAGTAGGAACAAGATCACATGGATACTGATGTCTACTGGGATTGAACTCATAACATCCAAATAAAATAAATTGAGGAGGATCTTCATTTTCACCATTTATCAGAGTTGCATCTCATTTGGCTGTGCATTACTTTTGTCAAAATGTGTTATTTGTAAACCCATTGTGTAGTGAAATTCTTCTGTAATTTTGGATTAATGGTATTTATGGTCTTATGTTTGTTTGGGTTTTCAGTAAGTTATTTCTTTTGTAGACTTGCTGATGGCATGACACCATCCCTCTGCCCTCAGCAGCTGATCTTTTTGAGGATTTTAATTTCTGATATTTTTATTTTAAATTGTGGTTGAAGCAATAGAAATTTGAAATATGGATTGTGCATGACTGTGTCTTGAGTGTAAAAATATTGCAGTTTGAAACTTGGACCTAAAGTATTGCAAATAAAATGACAAACATCAATGGTATGTTGTTTCTTTCTTCTGTCACTCTGCCATCCCACCCTGATTTCATTGGTCACTTTGCCTTTTTCACATTTTGGAGGGTATCACTCCTTTACAGGTAGAGA